TCTCTTTCTATCAAAACGATTCACTGTCTAACTCTCTGATGCTAAGCACCTAATTGCGAAGACTATATAGCCCGAATCAGGCACACCTTAGTCTCCAGCCTGACGTCGTTGTTCATCAGTACTCTTGAGAGGTCCCTCACAGCTGACTTCCCCAATGCAATTCATCTCTTGATTTCCTGGCTGTGGAAATCAATTGTGGAGTCAAGCAAACTAAAACTGTTAACTACCTCAATCTCTTCACCATCCATACTGATACTGCCAATTGGCCCAGTGGTGAGAATCTTTGTTTTCTTGATGTTGAGCTTCAATCCATATAGGAGGACACAGTCCTTGACCTTCTGATGCAAGCGCTTCAGGTCCTCCTCAGTTTCAGCAAGCAGGGTTGTTTCATATCCATAACGCAGGTTGTTGATGACTCTTCCACCAATCCTGATACCACATTCCTCTTCGTACAGCCCATCATCTTGGATGATCTGTTCTGCATACAGATTGAAAAGGTATGAAGACAGAATACATCCCTGACGAGCCCTCTTCTTCATTTTGAACCATGTACTGTCTCCTTGCTCTGTTTTGATGACTGCCTCTTGGTCCAAGTATAGGATTTACATTAGCACAATCAATGTTCTGGGATTCCCATTCTTCTCAGAGTCAGCCACAGCTTGTTGTGATCCACACAGTCAAAAGCCTTTGCACAGTCAATGAAGCACAGATAAACATTCTTCTGGTATTCTTTGCTTTCTGCCAAGATCCATTTAACATCAGCTATAATATCCCTAGTACCACGACCTCTTCTAAATCCAGCTTGTACATCTGGCAGTTCTCTGTTGGCATATTGTTCCAAATGTTTTTGGATAATTTTCAGCAGAATCTTGCTTGCATGTGATATTAATGATATTGTTCAATAATTTGCGCACTCTGTTGGGTCACCTTTCTTTGGAATGGGAACAAATATCCATCTTTTCTAGTCAGTGGGCCAGCTGGCTGTTATCCAGATTTCTTGGCACAACTTAGTAAGCACATCCAGGGCAGTGTCTGTCTGTTGAAATATTTCAATTGGTATGCCATCAACTCCTGAAGCCTTGTTTTTTGCCAATTCTTTCAGAGCAATTTGAACTTCCTCCTTCATCACCACAAGCTCTTGCTCATATGTCATTTCATTAAATTCTTCTGTGTCAGCCAATTCCTTCTGATACGGTGACTCTGTATTTCTCCCATCTTCTCTTGATGTTTCCTGGATCATTTAACATTCTACTACTTAAGTATTGCCACTCGTGGCTTGAATTTGTTTTTCCGCTCCTTCATCTTAAATGCTGAGCGAGTTTGGCCCTTGTGATTTTCTGACTCCAGCTCAATGCACATTTCATTATAATATCTTGCTTTGTTGTCCTGGGTTGCCTTTTGAAATTTTCTGTTTCACTCTTTTTTTTTCTATAATTATATTTTATTAATTTTCATAAACATTTACAGAGATTTTGGGCTTCCACTCATTCATTGTTGCACTATTCTCTCTACCCTCCTCCCAGTTTGTTCTTGTCCAAATGTCACAGTGCTTGTCAAAGCCAGTTCTGATTAATCTTCTTTGTCAGTGTATCCTTTGCCATTCCCTATCACTCCTCCCTGAGAGAGACTTCATCCTGAGTCATAAGGAAAAGGGGACGGCGTATCTGTTTCGCTCTTTGATTTCTTGGTTTTTTTTTCCCCCTTTAGCTTTGGCTTCTCGGTGCTCTAACATTTGAACTGAGTATGACTCATAGCAACCCTACAAAAAAACCCCCACACTTGAACCCTGTCATATCCCGTGTCATCCTCACACTTTCTGACTTACTCAAGCCCATTGCCACAGTTACTCTGTCAATCCATTAGTTGAGGTCTCCCTCTCTTTTTCTGACCTTTTACCTTTCCAAATATAACACCTCTCTTCAAGAAATAGCCTCTCTTAACAACAAGCCTGAAGTATGTGAGATGAAGTTTTATCATCTTTTCCTCTAAGGAGCACTGTGGCTGCACTTTCTGCAAGACATATTTGTTTGTTCTTTTTGGTAATCTATGGGATATTTAACACTCTTCTCCAACCACAGCTCAAAGGCATCAAGTTTTATTCTGTCGTCCATATTCATTGTCCAGCTCTCAGATGCATTGCAAGTGACTGAAAAGACCATGGCCTGAATCATGCACACCTTAGTCTGCAAAACAACATCATTGCTCTTCAATAATTTGGAGAGGTCCCTGTTTGCAGACTTTCCAAGTAATATGTCTTCTGATCTCTGGACTCCTGGTACCAAGGGTGTTGACTGTGGATCCAAGTAAGGTAAAAGTTGTTGACAACTTCAATTTTTGTTTTCTTGACTTTGAGGTGCAATCCATATTGAATGCTGTATTATTTGATCTTCTGCAGCAAGTGCTTAAAGACCTCCATTTTCAGCAAACAAGGTTATGTCATCTACATAACCCCGGTTCTTGATGAACCTTCTGATCCTGATGTCACATTCTTTCATATAAAGTCCAGCAAACAGATTGAATAGACATGGGAGAAGATACCATCTTAACACACACACCTCCCTTAATGTTAAATTGAGTAGTTTTCTATTGGTCTATTGGCACAATAGCTTCTTGGTCTATGTATAAGTTCTGCATAAGCACAATTAAGTGTTCTAATATTCCCCTTCTTCTTGACATAGCAGTAATTTATGGCCCACACAATCAAATGTTTTTGCATAGTTAATAAAGCATAAATAGACATTCTTCTTGTATTCTTTACTTTTAGCCAAGATCCATCTGACATGAACAATATAGTTATTGTTATGTGCCATTAAGTCAGCCACTACAACTCATAGTGACACTGTGAACAGATGGCTCTGAACCCTGTCATATCTTGTGCCATCCTCCTATCCTCTGCCATCTTAACCACGCCTGACACACTTGAGTCTATTGTTACACTCACTGTGTCAGTCCGTTCTGTTGAGTCTTCCTTTATTTCTCTGACCCTTCACCTTTCCAAGCATAGTAATTCATATCAGACATTGTGCTATTATCTACACACTACGTCACAGAGCTCCCTGAAATGATGTAGCCCTAATAAATGCTTTAACAAAAAACTTCTTGGACTTACTGGTTCGTTAAGGACATTCATATACATTGAAGGATAGCATGTCCTTCTTTGGGACACAAAAATTTTAGTTTGGGGCCTCTGACAGACTATGTGACTATTCGTATGTAGGGCTCCCCGCTTTCTTCCACACCTCCCACCAATAAACCTTACCTGTAGAAACAGTAGTTTTCAAGAGTCCTGTGTGATGTTCCAGTGAATTCTTGAGACCAAAGGAGTACTAGGAGCTAGCAGGTCAAAACTGGGGGGGGGGGCACTAAAGATCCTTGAGCATGTAATATGTAACCTAAGATGAATAGCAGTAAAACCTTGAACCTGAAGTCAGTTTATCATAACTGTGGATGGCATAGTGAATCCCAAAATGCAGCTGGTGTAGGACATCTTGGGCCCCACATGTCAGTCTGAAGGGTTCTGTCTTTGAACTTGTAAGATTGGAACTAATCCAAGTGGGGATTATCAGAAAAAGTGCTTGTGTGTTGTGATACGGTAGAGATATGGACAGGGGCATTTTATGTGTGCTCATAAGAAGTTCTGGTGGCTTGGTGTTTTTTACATGTTGCACTATTGATTGAAAGGTCAGCAGTGCAAATCCATCAACCACTCCAATGAAGAAAGAGGGGAAGTCTCTTCCCCTAGCAATTTATCTTCTATAAAGCTCAAAGAAGGGTCTTTATGCATGGGAATCTACTGGATGTCTGATGTTGTTCACCTGCCTGCTCACCAATTAAGTCAGAATTCCTTCATTCCCTATTTCCAAGTCAGAGTCCAATTTTAAGATCTTGGTGTGTTACTATACACAGGAAAAGACAGATCTGTAATTCATAGGGTTGCTATGAGCCATGCTTTGACTCAACAACCCCTAACAACATGTGACTTTTAGAATTTTCTGTTTCCAACAGTGCAACAATGAATGAATGAAAACCCAAAATCTCTGTAAATGTTCATTAAAACTAATAAAATTTAATAAAAAAAAGAAATGAAAAAAAAAATTTTCTCTTTCCTTCTACTTCTCTCCTTTCCATCTATTGTTTTGCGTATTGCTTCCTCACCATGAAAGTAGGCTGAGATAGACTATCCATTCTTGTCTATTTTCTATACCGTTTCGCATGGTGCCCAGAACACTCAGCAGCTACTAATGGAATGCCTCTAGCCACCCATCTCAAATGTGAAAGCAAAAGACTTCAAGGGCTCCTAAGAAAATATGAAATATGTTTCCTGAGAAAAGTAAAATGTCTTTAGCCTCTTGTACATTGGTGGATTTGACTTTTTCCAATATCATTTTATGTTCAATTAAACTGTAACACAGTTACAGGGAGAATAATTCACTATAACCATAATCTGTACTTAAAAATAATTCAGATTCAACAAAATCACATAATGTTCTTTTTATTGAAATTTACATTCTGATTGCAGCTGAGTATTTCAAGTACTTCATCTGACTGACAGACACAACATTCTAATTAACATTTCAAGAGACACCAGTGATTTCACAACTACTGGGAGTAGAGCACCCTTACTTGGCAGTTAACATCGTACATGGTAAGTACTACAAACAATAGTTAAAGGAAATAAGCTAGAAGACAATTGGTCCTCCACTACAAAATTACAACCTTGACAAGTTTCTACTAAGAAAAGAATTATTCTGACTAGTATAGAGTCAGAGATATCTATCGTTAAATGTATGCGTTTAATATGTTAGAAATTGGGGCTACATATCAAAAGGAAAATTATTCAGAATAGCTACATGTTAAGTTTGCATTGTCTGGTTATAAATGCTAATGAAATCCATTTATTTAGTAAAATCAAGAAAAGCACACTACAATATATTCGTGACTTTAGTAGATGCTTGGCAGTTGAAGTTTCTAGTAGATGTTTGGCAGTTGAAGTTTCTTCTTTATGAATTTTTCTTGGAAATTTTCACCGTGACTGTTTTGACCTCTGTATATTCATATATGCCACATTCTCCCCTGGAGAGAGGCAAGGAATAGAGACAGCACTTAGCATAGCAGTTCATGATTTAGTACGACTTAGTTCTTGCTTATTTGACAATGGAAAATATCTGTAGAGGGTGGGATCTTTTAAAACAGTGTCTACATCATAACACATATGGCTTTTAAAAAATCTTGTGAAGAACTTATTATTGCATGTTAAATAAACATACACTGTTGATTGTCACAGAAATTGTCCTTTTTGAAAATATCTTTCTACTACTATAAAAAGAGCTTAACTATAGAAATTAACCAAAGGACAGTTCAGCCCGACAAGAATTCTGTAATGTCTAGCTAGTTTAGGTTCGAAGAAATAAGGCACATACTGTAAGAGCAGAATGATTAATATGTAACCACTTATGTGTCCTAAAGTAAGACTCTAAACTCAACTATCACTTGAATTTACCAGATTAGATTGGTACAGAAGGGGTGAGGTGGTAGAAAACAGACTTTTTTCATGATATGTGCCTGCCTGCCTTATTACAGCTTTTGAAAGATGTGTTCTAGCCATAATGTTATTAAATTTTATCCTTGGAAAAACAAAAACTGAAACATTATTATAAAATATTATTATGATTAGGATAGTTACTTCATTAACAGATTGAACTAAATTCAGTCTTTTGGATTTTATTCAGTTGTTGGATTCCCCCTTCATATAGTCTTTAGTACCCCGTCATTTGCTTACATTAATTTTAATTCCAACCAAATGACTAGGACTTAATACAACAAATTTCAACATAGCCACCTTGTTATCAATATCCTTTTTGAGGTCCTCCATCAATTTGAGAGGCTGACTTCAAGTTCTCCTTTGTTGTCGTTGTTGTTAGGTGTCATTGAGTTGAGTTAAGACTCATAGTGACCCTACGGATGAAAGATCTGAACTCTGTTCTATCCTGAGCCATCCTCACACTTCCTGACACACACAAGAGCCCATTGCAGCACAGTTGAAGGTCTTCCTCTCCTTCATTGAGTCTTCATTCTTTGCAGCATCGTGTCCTTTTCCAAGGAATAGCCCCTCCTAGCAACATACTCAAAGTATTTGAGGCAAAACCTCACCTTTCTTGCTTCCAAAGAACACTCTGGATGTGCCCTCTCTAAGACATATACAAGTGTTTTCCAAGGTGATTAAAATATGTCTTTAAAAAATTTCTTTTAGAACTGTTAGATGTCGATATGATTTTAGTCTTAAGAGCTGTGGTATATTCACACAGTGGTATAATACACAGCAATGAAAAAATAAAATAAATACAATATTATAGAAGTTGGGTGACCCTGGAGGACATTATGCCGAGTGAAATATCTCAGTCATAAAGGGACAAATACTGCATAATGTCACAGTTGTAAAACAGGACTGACATGGGTATTGAGGGAAAACTAAGAAAAGAGAGGATAATGAACTCTGCAATGGAACAGATGAAGGAAAGAACTGTTTTAAAAGGAATATATGTTTAGGCATTTTTTTCATGACAATAATCCAGAATAAGAGGTACATAGCAAAGTGAACTGGGGTGAGAGGAGAAAGGAAATTATA